GGCACTCGCTGACTTGCCCACGGTCGCTCCTCCCTATCCCGCTAGAAAACGGTGACGCGCCGCGCCAAGCGTGAGTTCCACTGTCCCCCCCTTCGCGCGCATGCATACGGATTCGACACGCGCAACTTCTCTCAGCTGTTCCACGCAGACACCCGAGTGCGTGCGCAACGAGGTGCAGCCCCCTTCGTCGTTCTCCGCTGGTCCCCGGATACGCGCGCAGTAGCAAGCAGCTTCCCTCCGTTGTCCCTTGCAGGTGTCCAGGTACACGCGCGGTAGCGCGCGGCTCCCTTCTTCGTCCTTCGCTGGTCCCCGAGTACGTGCGCGGTAGCGCGCAGCCTCCCTCCGTCGTCCCGCTCAGGTGTCCAGGAGCGCGCGCAAAGATCCGCAGCCCCCTTCGTCGCTCTCCGCTGGTCCCGGGTACGTGCGCGGCGATCACACACCCGTGCCCCCGTTCCTCAGAGCACGCAGGTGCTCGCGCGTCTGTGCGCGGAGAGCTCGATCCCCACCACGCGCGAGTGTGTGCGCTTAGCACGCTAAGCGCGCTGCCGTGGGTGGCGTGGGTGTTCCCGCCAATGCGCGGAGCGCGCACTCTATTGTGCCCGATCCCCTCGTTCGTGCCCTCCCATTTGTGTCCCGTACGCGAATGTCCCTGGCGTGTCCCACTCACGTGCGTCTACTTCCTCGTGCGTCTGTCTCCCCTGCCGTGTGTCTCGTGTGCCTCTCGTCTGTGGGTGTCCAGCTCCTGTGCGCCAGTGCGCCTGTCTGGTGCGTACCCCGCTCCTATGCGCCAGTCTCTCGCAAGCAAAGAATGCCCCCAACTTGAGCCCTGTTGGGCTTATAAAGTTTGCAGCCTCCAGCCTCGGCCCACTCACGGCCTCAAGGTGTCGGCTTGGGCCTGCTGCAGTTTCAGCGCCCCGGTACCGATCCTGCGCTTGGGCCTGATTAGACCCCCGAACAGTTTTTGTCGAGGAGGGCCTTTTTGCCAGGAACCGGGCCTTTTGCAGCGTTCTGGTACCGGTCCTATTTTCCGAGCCTGTCCCGAGCCTACTTCAGCCTTGGTGGTCCCCACTCCTAAGTGGTACCAGTCCCCCCCTTTGGGAAAATCACGCGGGCCGGAAGGCTCATTCCCGGGCTCCAGGCCCGCGCCCTTTTTCTTTTAGTATCAAAGCCCCCGCGTGGGCTGGGCCCACCGCTTGTCCATGTAGGGCATTCTTTTGGAATTTGGCTGCTCTAGGCAATTTCGGCTGCCGCTGCCTCTTAAACGTCCGTAGCTCCACAATAAATGCCCGGCACCTCTGTCCCTTCAGCTGTTCCGCGGACCCTTAGTACTATCCCAGCCTTTCGCGGCTGCGCCCCCTTGTCCAACCCCTCGGCGGTTGCCCGCTGTGGCACCCCATTTATGCCTGCCAGTAGCTCATGTCTTAAGCTTTTTCTGTAAAAGAACCGCTGTTCAACTCTCGTTTCCTGCTTGAACTGAGTATCGTAGCCCGTAACTTGTTCGGTCCACCGGTCGCGGCACTTTTCCCATGGTCGGTGGGCTTCAGCCAGGTAGAAACCAATAAATAGAAACCTTGATGCGCGCCCTTGTAAGAGAAGTAAAGGGCGGCGTAGGGTTGGAGCCGCCCGACACCGGGGCCAGTCTTAGAAGTCAAGGGCGGAGAGGATGGACCGTCCTACACAGTCGAGATTCCAGCGCACCTCCACACCTACCCGGTGTTTCATGCGTCAAAATTACTGCCATGTACCACAAGTCAACAGTTTCCACCACGGAGGTCCATGATCCCTCCGGACATGGATGGAAGGTACGACATTGACGGCATAGTAGGTGAAGATGTTTTCAGAACAGGAGGTAGAGGTCGTCCACAGAAATAGTATAAAGTCAGATTCGCTTTTCAAGAACCAGAAGACGACCGCTGGTTCACACGAACAGAACTTCTAGAGACCGCTCCCGATGTAGTTCGCGCCTATGAGGGAGATAGGAAAGGTAAAAGTCCTGCCTTGGACTGAAATATTCTCGGAGGACCTCGAATTTATGCCTGCGGGAGTGAAACGGTTTTCACCTTTTGCAGACACAGTGTCGATCCCAGGGCTCGATCCCCAGACCTTGCCTCACCAATGTACAGTATCGAGTCGACCCCCGTGTGTTTGAACCCGTAACCTGTGTTTCGGTAGATGACTGTTGTCTGTTGTAGGTCTGTGTAGCTGTGGGGGTTCGATCTGTAGGTCTGTCGAGTAGGGGTCATAGTTGCGCAGAGTCCGTAGCTGTAGCAATTCTGAAAGATCAAGGTCGTAGTTGCGACAGTCCTGAAAGGTCAAGGTCGTAGTTGCTACAGTCCTGAAAGGTCAAGGTCGTAGCTGCTACAGTACTGAAAGGCCAAGTCCACAAACTTCCGGAATGTCCGGAAGTGGCCTTTCAAGTTTCTTCTCACGTTATACATAGCAGGCCAGAGGCAAGTGGGCAAGTGGTGAGTCCAACTTTGTCTAGTCAGCGGTACCCAGTCCCAATCTTACTTTGTACAGTCAGCAAGTACCATGTGGGACTGTGCACCGTGGGCCCGGTGGAAAGGAGCAGACCAGCGGCCAACAGAAGTATAAATCAAGAGGCAGCGTCCAGCCATTCATTCATTCCTGCGTGAGCCATGCGGAAGCAATGCCCTAGCGTCTTGTGCGAGGTGGTCTGCAGAGGCCTGAAGTCGAAGTGGGCTGAATTTTACATGCCCAGTTGGGCAATGTAGGGGAGCCAAGGATCCGCCCAGTTGGGCAATGTAGGGGAGCCAAGGATCCGCCCAGTTGGGCAATGTAGGGGAGCCAAGGATCCGC